GTGCTCACGCCCCCACACCTTTCATGTTTTTCAGGTCGCAGGGTCGGAGACGAGGACTGAGCGGGCGAGCTGTTCAGGATATTTATGATTATTGTACTTATGTTTAGCCATGCTTCGTTTCCGCTAAGACTTTCAGTACTTATTATCAGACTTTGCTCCGACATTAGTCGGATAAGACATTATGACCGTTTTTATGTATCGGTTTAAATTTTAACGTTTTTTTTTCAAAAATTAAGTTTTCCTCACGGTAGCATCCCGAATCAGTTTTCGCAAAATAAGTATTTTATTCAGAAAATTGCGAAAAATCGCGTACTCTGATATGGTAAAAGTCGGGGTGTTACACCCGCGGCCAGGCCGGACAGCGCCAGCGTGCGCAGCCTCGGCAGGCTGCTGCCCGAGCCAGCACCAACTGCCCGGTTCAGCCGACCGGCAGTCCGGTCCAGACCGGCTGGACCGGTTCAGTCCATACTTTATGAATTCAGCTCCGGTTCACGATTTCAATGACATTTTCAGTTAAAATTCCGGGTGCCGTTCAGTTCAGTAAATTCATGTCAGATCAGTTCCGGTTATACCGGTTAAGTCTAAATATTAAGTCACGTTCAGTATAGCATCTTAACATAATTAATCAGTTAAGTTAACAGTCTGAGCATAGTCATTAGTAATTGTTTATATTATATTTCAGTTTGATCAGGTCACGAGCATCAGCACTACCTTTATTTTCACGCATCAGGTGGGGACTCAGACTAAGTACTACATTGATTATAATTACGGTACCATGTTTGAGGTATGTATTTCATGTCATGTATCCGCTCAGAATGGTCGTCGGTCCATTCTGGGTTCTAGTGGCCTAGTCTGCCCACTAGAGTGTGCACATGGTGTCCGGCATTAGTTTGTGCCGGCAGATGAGGTAACGGTCATGGTTCACGTTCACGTGATGATATCAGATTCATGTTCATGTTATTACCGATTTTGTTTTCAGGTTATGTATATGCCAAGATCATGATGTTGTTATTATTTTCAATGTTTACATTAGTATGAGTTTCCACGGAGCACAGTGTCCTAGTGCTCACAACCCACTTTTATCATGTTTTTCAGGTCAGGATGTCGGACCGGGAGCGTGAGATGACGGATGCTTCAGGACTTTTATGTTATGATTGTATATATTTTGACGATATTACGTTTCCGCTGACTTTGATGTTGACGAACTTATCTTTTGATCAAATTTTCAAAAAAATTTATGCTTTCAGTAAAGGTATGATTTTATTAATAATTAAAATAACGGTTTTCCAAAATGAGTCACGTTTTAGGGTAGCACCCCGAATCAGTTTTCGCAAAGTAAAAGATTTTATTTTTAAATAACTTTGTGAAATTTTTGCACTCTGATTTCACGATAAGGCGGGGTGTTACAATTGGTATCAGAGCACGTTTCTGCGTCTCTGAAAAGTTTTTCAGTCAGTAACTTTAAGAAAAACCTGAAACGCTCACGCCTCGCCGACTACAAGTAAGTGCTGATTTATGTTTTTAGTTATAAACATATTACTTTGTCTATGCTCAGAAATTATGGATCAGGACTTAGTTAAGATGCTCGAATCAGGATCAGACTTTAGAATTCAGATATAACTCTAGAATTCAGTATATTCATGACTCTAGAATTTAGTATCTTCCGATATGACTCTAGAGTTCCTTAGGATTCATGTCAGTATTTATCGGCCATTTTTGGCAACTCGTCAAGAGATTTGTATGCCTAAGTAATCAGTCAGAATATTATCACGTGTTCAATAATGTTGAACTTTCTCAATGTTCAGATGCCGCCCCGTAGGGAACCCGATCACCCGGCTCCTACTCAGGCCACAATAGTCGCACAGTTCCGCGACTATCATGCTGAAAAATTCTCAGGGCAGGGAGATCCCCGTATCGTAGACGAATGGATTCAGGGCCTTGAGTTAATCTTCGAGGTCATGGATTGTCCTGATAGATATCGCGTAGTCTGCACTCAGCTTCAGCTCACCGGTGATGCTCGGCTCTAGTGGAACACTTACTGGAGCATGCGTCCCGGCGAGAAGGCGGGATTTACATGGGAGATGCTCAATGAGCTAATCAGCGAGAAGTACTACCCCACTTATTACCGAGCAGAGATGGAGCGTCAGTTCTTATCGCTCCAGCAGGGTACTCGTACGGTTGATGAGTACGAGAGAGAGTTTACTAGACTTGCAGCTTTCGTTCCGGACCTGGTTCGCACGGAGGCCCAGAGAGCACAGCGTTTCATCGACGGGCTTCACCCAGCAGTCCGTCACAATATTGTAGGCCACGGGACACAGACATACGCTCGTGCAGTTTCGATTGCCCAGGAGGTGGACGCCAACATCAGGAGGGAGGCCGTCCGTGATCGTCCTCAACCGTCCACCCCCTCCCAATGATTTACAGCTCCACCAGCCCTACCAGCTACTCAGCCGACGAAGGAGAAGAAGAGGAAGAGAAAGGGTGCTCAGACCGACAGGAGGACCCGACAGAGACAGCAGCAGGTTCCACCGTGCCCGACTTGCGGACGACTTCATCGCGGAGAGTGCCACATGGGTCAGGACATTTGCTACTACTGCCACGAGCCTGGACATTTTGTGAGTCGTTGTCCGAAGAGACTTCAGCAGCAGCCTCAGCAACCACCACAGCAGCAGCAGAGGGGCAGACAACAGGCCCGAGTCTACGCGGTTGATCAGGCCGAGGCAGCACAGCAGCCAGGTACTATGTCAGGGATGGTTGTGCTTAATGATATTCCTGTTTTCGCTTTATTCGACACTGGAGCAACGCATTCATTCATTTCACGACGATGTCTTGATGCCATCGGAATTCATGTTGTTACCGTTGTCGATCCTCTCGAGGTGAATTTAGCCTCGGGACGAAAGATAGTGACCTCAGCTAAAGCTTCAGATCTTAGCCTTTCTATCGGTGGTCGTTCATTGTCTACCGACGCGTTTGTTCTCGAGATGAGGGACTTCGACCTCATTCTCGGATTGGATTGGCTATCCTTTTATCATACAGATATCAGATGTCATGACCGGGAGATCACTCTCTATCTTCCAGGAGATGATTCGATCACCTTCTTTGGCAGCAAGAATCGTTCATTACCTCATGTCGTTTCAATGGCGAAAGCTACCAAATTGCTGCGACGAGGCAACTGCCAGGGTTATCTAGTGAGCCTTGTCAATGATTCTCAGAAAGCACGATCACCTCACGATGTTCTAGTTGTTCGTGAGTTTGTGGTCGTGTTCCCAGACGAGCTTCCAGGAGGACCGCCTAACCGACAAGTGGAGTTCTCTATCGATCTCATTCCAGGAGCCGATCCAGTATCCAAAGCCCCATACCGTATGGCGCCGAAGGAGTTGCAGGAGCTTAAGGCGCAGATTCAGGAGTTATTACAACTCGGTTTCATCCGACCGAGCGTGTCACCTTGGGGAGCACCCATTCTCTTTGTTAAGAAGAAGGACGGATCCATGCGCATGTGTATCGATTACCTTGATCTTAACCGGTTGACGATCAAGAACAAGTATCCGCTTCCCAGGATCGACGACTTATTTGATCAGTTGAGGGGAGCCTGTGTATTCTCAAAGATTGATTTACGATCAGGCTACCACCAGCTAAAGATTAAGGAGTCAGATATCGCTAAGACTGCTTTCAGGACTCGTTACGGCCATTACGAGTTCGTAGTCATGCCATTCGGCCTCAGCAATGCTCCAGCGGTTTTCATGGACCTGATGAACCGTATTTTCCATCCCTAACTCGATCGTTTTGTTAATGTCTTCCTTGACGATATTCTTATCTACTCGAAGAGCCAGAAGGAGCACGAGGAGCATCTGAGGGTGGTTCTCGAAACCCTCAGACGAGAAAAGTTGTTTGCAAAATTCTCCAAATGCGAGTTCTGGCTCCAGCGAGTATCTTTTCTGGGTCACGTGATTACTCAGGCAGGGATCGAGGTGGATCTTTCCAAGGTCTCAGCTGTTCAGAACTAGTCGACACCGAAGAGTCCGTCCGAGGTTCGCAGTTTTCTCGGTCTAGCTGGCTATTATCGCAGGTTCATCGAGGGCTTTTCTAAGATTGCCCTCCCTCTATCCCAGCTGACGATGAAGTCTGTGAAGTTCGAGTGGACTGATCGTTGTGAGGCGAGCTTTCAGGAGCTCAAGAAGAGATTAACTTCAGCACTGGTGTTGACTATTCCCGATCCTGCTCGGAGTTTCACCATCTTCAGCGATGCTTCGATACAGGGTTTGGGATGCGTCCTTATGCAGGATGGCCAGGTCGTGGCGAATGCTTCACGTCAGCTTAAGCCACACGAACAGAACTATCCGACGCACGACTTGGAGTTAGCAGCAGTCGTTCATGCCCTCAAGATTTGGCGACATTATCTGTACGGCGGTCATTGTGAGATTTTCACAGATCATAAGAGCTTGCAGTATATTTTTACTCAGAAGAAGCTCAACATGAGACAACGCCGTTGGCTTGAGCTCGTTAAGGATTATGATTGCTCTATTCAGTATCATCTGGGAAAGGCGAACGTCGTTGCTGACGCCCTGAGCCGAAAGTTAAGGGGTGACTTGACGTACGTCATTACACAGCAGAGTCCGTTGATTCAGGAGTTCGCCCGGATGCAGATTCATGCAGTCGATGCACTTCCCACAGCCATTTCGGGGAGTGTCAGTGCCAGTGTCAGTGCCATGCAGCTTCAGCCGATGCTGAGAGAGAGAATCCGGCGAGAGCAGGCTTCTGACGAGTTCATTCCTGTCATAGAGGCCAAGGTTCGCGCCGGAGGCGTCGAGGGTTTTCAGCTAGGTGCCGATGGTGCCCTAGAGTTCAGAGGCAGGATTGTGGTCCCAAAGGTCAAGGCGTTACGGAAGGAGATATTATCAGAGGCTCATACCGCACCCTATCTAGCCCATCCCGGGAGCACGAAGATGTATCATGACCTGGAGGGATCGTTCTGGTGGCGAGGAATGAAGAAAGACGTCGCCGAGTTTGTCAAGAGATGTTTTACCTGTCAGCAAGTTAAAGCCGAACATCAGAGTCCGATCGGCCTCCTGCAACCACTGTCGATTCTGAGGTGGAAGTGGGAGGAAGTCACGATGGATTTCGTTACGGGATTACCGAGGTCGTCTGAACACCACGATGCTATCTGGGTCGTGGTCGACAGATTGACTAAAGTTGCTCATTTCTTACCCGTTTCGATGAAGATGTCTCTGGATAAGTTGGCTGAGATATATACCCGTGGGATCATTCGACTCCATGGAGTGCCTGTTACTATCGTATCAGACAGAGATCCCAGATTCGTCAGCAGATTCTGACACAGTTTACACGAGACGATGGGCACGAAGCTAGAGTTCAGTTCAGCCTACCATCCGGAGACAGATGGTCAGTCCGAGCGAACTATTCAGATGCTTGAAGATATGCTTCGCGCTTTGGTTGTTGACAGGGGTGCTAAGTGGGAGTCGTTGTTGTCGTATGCTGAGTTCGCGTACAATAACAGCTATCATTCTTCTATTCAGATGGCTCCTTACGAGGCACTTTACGGTCGCAAGTGCCGTTCCCCTCTTTATTGGGACGACGTCGGAGAGCGACGAGTACTCGGTCCCAAGTTGATCGAGGAAACAGCAGACCAGGTCGAGTTGATCCGGCATAGACTCAAAACAGCTTAGAGTCGACAGAAATCTTCAGCCGATCATTATTGACGAGATATTCAGTTCGAGGTTGGCGAGCCAGCTTTTCTCAGAGTTCGTCCGATTCACGGAGTCGTTCGATTCGGAAAGAGAGGGAAGCTGCACCCTCGATTCATTGGCCCGTTCGAAGTTCTCGAGCGAGTAGGCGAGGTCGCGTATCGATTAGCCATACCTCCCGAGTTATCAGGCATTCATAATGTTTTTCACGCATCTATGTTACGTAAGTACGTGTGAGACCCCGATCATGTTATTCCCCATTCAGATATTCAAGTTCAGCCAGATCTTTCGTACGAGGAGCGACCGGTAGCTGTACTAGACCGTCAGGTTCGTCGGCTCCAGAAGCGAGATGTTCCCCTTGTGCGTATTCAACGGGATCGCCACGGAGCTACTTGGGAGGCGGAGTCCGATATTCGCGCTCGTTTTCCAGATTTTCAATTTTGATGTACATACTTTCTTGTTCCATGTACATAGTTCATGTATATTCAGTTATGTTTTGAATTTCCGAGGACGGAAATTCTTAAGGAGGGAGGATTGTAATATCCCGTTATTTTATTAGTATAAATCATGTTTTTAGTTTCGATATATTAATATTGTCGAGTATTAATTTTCGGAATTAATTATTTCAGTCATTTCAGTTGAGATTACCGAAAATTATTTCCGACGTTCCGTTTACGTTCGGAATAATTTTGATAATTAAGTATTATGTTTAATTAAATAATTAAACATGATTAAGTGATTAATTAACCATTAATCACATGATAGTGTCATTAAGCCGTGCAATTTTCCCGAATTTTGCTAAGTGCCGTAGTTATACTCCTTCATGACAAGGAGATTATTCTTTCTTTTTTTTAGCATGATACGTGGCATTAGGAGAGATTATAAGGTGATTACTCACCTTAAGAGTATTTAGTGTTATTACAAGTGTCAAGTTTAAGTTAAGCCACAAAAATCTCTACCTCATCACTCCATGCCTCTCGGGTTCTATTTATAAGTTGGGAAAAGGGAAATTTTCCCATCATTTCTTTCAGCATAATATCAGAATAGATCATAACCGAGAGCTTAAGAGGGTTAGAGAAATTGGTGAAAATTCCTTAAGCAAGAAGCTACCGAACGCACGGCCATAGCTAGCACCGCACACGCACACGCGAGGACTAAGGAAATCACGATCAGTTTTGGGAATTCTAGCGAGCACTTATGGAGGTAAATCCATCCTCAATCTCTCTTCATGTTAATAGGTTCATGTAAAGTTGAAT